CCTCCTTGAGGGCTTAGGCGTTGGAGTTTTCCGGCCGGCTTGGGCAGTGTAGGCGGGTATGTCCTCTTTTCCCACAATACATACAAAGTCCCTCCCTTCGTCTATATTGTCTCTCAGGTTCAGGCAACCGTGTGGCTCCCAGTTGCATGGGTTCTGCTGGAGCGACAGTGGTTTCCTCAGATGAAGGAAACGTTAATGCCAGGCGTTCCGGCATACGCCTAGGTCTATCCCTGGTGTTTTGTCTATGTCGGAGACGTTCGTCTATATGTGCTAGATATGTAATTAATTCCTCCAACACATTAGAGAGGTCTCGGGTGGCTACCTCATCTAAAAGTTTATCAGAAAGTCCATTCATGAACACATCTACAAAGGCCTGCTCATTCCATCTGACCTCTGCAGCATGAGTGCGAAATTCTAGGGCATAGTCCACCAGGGAACGAGACCCTTGTCTCATTCGTAATAGGGTTTTAGCAGCATTGGTACGTCTTCCAGGGGGATCTAATGTTCTCCTAAAGGCTGCGACAAACTCTACGTAGTTGAAAACTATGGGATTGTCGTTTTCCCACAATGGATTGGCCCAAACTAGTGCTCTATCGACTAACAATGTTATAATATAACCAATATTTGCTCTATCGGTAGGATACACCCTAGGATGAAGTTCAAAGTTAATACTAATCTGATTGAGGAAACCCCGACAACCCTTAGGATCACCTCCATAACGGAGAGGGGATGTGGCATGGGCAGAAGCCCCCCCTGCCGCCATCTCTAAATGAGGTTCCTGGGATCTATGACCCGGGATATGGTCCTCTGGCTGTAGATGTGCAGTCCGAGCTAACAAGGTCTGAACAGCTACAGCAAACTGGTCCATACGATGGTCCAGTTCCTCAAACCGATTATCAGGAACCGGGCCATGAGGATTAGCACCTGCAGGGTCCATGGCCCTAGTGTAATGTCACGATAGTGACCCCTTCACACAGATGGTAACCCAGAAAGGGACGTATACCGGACCTTAGGGTGGCCGGACTTAACGTCAAAGAATAGTCAAGAAAAAGCCGAGGATCAAGGGAGTACGGAAATCGGGATAAACGAGAAAGCCAAGCCAAAAGTCGGGGAGCCAGATAGGAGAATAGTCAGAACGAAAGCCAAGGGTCAAAATACCAGAAAAACAGCTAAACAGAATAAGAGCACTAGGGGAACAATCAAGAACCACACTAGGGCACTGAGGGGTGGACAGGGATGCCCTTTTATACTAATGTGTGTGTCACTTTAAAGCCACGCCCCCAAAAGGTTCGGGAGCGTGGCCGCGTTTGAATTTTCGCGGCAAAATCATTATGATGTCGGCGAGCATGCGCCGCGTCATAAAACGGATTTTGCCGCGAGCGGGCAGCGTCCGAGAGGCTGCGCCGCCCCCCGGAAGCAGCCGGGGAAACTGCCGTGCCGCGCGGGATCGGCGGACACAGGTAAGGTATCGTCACATAGATTACCTCTGCTGTTCTAATATATTTTTTCTACCATGTGTAATGCTGATTCCCACTGTGTCCTTACATCCTGTCATATGTGTGTGAGAATCCCTGCATCGCCTTGCTCCTGCCTCTAGAGTTGGCTAGCACTTACACTATGGTGTAATTACCTGACAATCCCCCTGCAAAGCTCAAATGTGATTTGCAGTAGACTTGTGCAGCGTAATAAAAAATTAGTTTTCTCTGGACAAAATTAGTTCATGCTGTGGTTTGGCTTCATTCTTGTGTTTGGCTAAACCACATTTCAGTATCGAAATAAAAAAAAAATCAGGAAGGCTATTTAAGACTTCAAAACAGCAGGAACAATGACTGTGCTGGCATGAAATTGGCTACAACATTGCCTGGTCTAATGGCTATCTAGCTATTTTGCAATGCCAATTTTGAGTTGTCAAAAATAGATTATTATATATTTAGATTTAAAAAGAAATAGGAAGTGAAATACCTTTTAGAATTATTGATTTTAATATATCTATTTTTTGCTTTTAGAATAATTGATTATAATATATCTATTTTTTGCTGTCTTGTATTAATGAAAAATGGGGAGCTGGAGTCATTTTAAAAGGACATTCCAGACCCCTAAAACCCTAGCTTTCTGAAATACTTTATGTGTGAAGAGTGTGTCCTCTGTTTTTCATTTTTCAAAAGTGCAGATTTCAACACAAATTGGCAATTTTACAAATTAACCTTTTTGCCTTTTTTCACACTCTCCTAGCTTTCAGGCAGACAACAGGTCCCGTTACTTCCAGGTTTGTTTAGCTCAGGGGTAGGCAACTGTGACAAACTCCCCTTTTCAAGTGAGTTTGCCACAAGTTACTGGAGGGGCCTGCTTGCCAGCCTCCTTCTGACAGATTATGGACCCTGTAAAATGTGATCTAAAAGTCTCCCTTCATGTATTGGACTATATGGTTCGGGAACCGAACAGCCTCCTGGAGCTTGTTAAGTCTAATTGCTACTTTGTAACAATTTCCACCCCATTGTTATAAGTGTTTGTCTGGGTGGCTGCAATTCCTATGGATGACCATAAGGTGGTGGCCATCTTGTTCGCATGAATGCAGGCAGCGGTGTTTGGTCATCGAGTTCATGGAACTATTTTTGGATACTGAAACTCCCGTACACTGCTGGACTTCCATGATCGCCTGCGTTCGGTTCGACAACACTTAGAAAGACACTGTTCGGTAGAAACGTTCCCACGAACAAGGGGAACAAGCTCCAGGGTAAAACTTTTGACTATGTTCAGTAGTTTGTTAGTTTTTAAACTACCAAACTAGACCGACCGCAAGCCATGATTCTTTGGAACTGTTTTGGGCATGGGACCATGCGTGCCGTCGGTTAAACAAATGATTTCCAGGAAATTCCTGAACCCCTGAACTGATCTGGGTGACTTTTGAATATGTTGGTCACCCAGATCAGCGCTATCAGGGGATGTAACTTTTGTGGGGGGTTTATGTATTTTTAGGGTACTTTTGGGGTGTTTGGGAAAAAGTATATTTTTTCTGTGCTTGGAGATAATTGGATTAGATTGGTACAGTTCCTGATCCAATTACCTCCCAGGCACAGAGGAGGGATTATCTGATTATGTATGGGAGTGTTATGGATCTTAGAGCCAATGTAATTGTGTATTTGTTTCTACTGTGGTTTACTCTGGGGACCTGCATATAAGGCCAGTTGTGGCTGCCAATAAAGCATTCCAGCTCATATTCCCAGAACTATTTGTTGTCTGGTTACTGGGAGGGGAAAGGTCTAATCACTGTTTCAACTGTTCCAACATAGAGGTTTCAGCGTGGAAAGTCCTTGTAAGGACTTGAGCTCCCAGGACTGAGTGTCATCCTGTCCCTGGGAGTGAATAGAGCTAGTCCCCTATTCGGCCCCAGGACTCTGAGGTTTTTCACTTGTTCCAGCTAGGAAGTAGTCCTTTGGCGGAGGTACCCAGTCAGGGGAAACGGGAGCTCTGCTACAGCAACCTTCGGCACTCCAGATGCTGTGGACTACATATCCCGTAATGATCTTACAGCCATAATGCTGGCAAAGCATTAAGGGAGATATAGTTCACAACATCTGCAGTGACAAAGGTTGCCTACTATTGGACAAGAAATTGCATTACAAAGATGTCTCATGAGCTGCATTGGAAACTCTGTGATCACAGAGTCAGAAAAGGCTGGGCTGGGGAAGAAGGGGTAGGCAGCAAACAAGATAACTGCAGCTTTTGCAAGCTGGTTTAACCCCTTAAGGACGGAGCCAAATGTACACGTTGTGAACAAAACAAAATGTAAACAAAACCTGGCATTTGCGCTACATGTCTGTCCAACCGTAATTCACCTCTTTCATATTAAATGTACCCACCCTTATTTTATATGATTTTATTCAGAGGGAACAGGGCTTTCATTTAATATCAAATATTTAGCTATGAAGCATAATTTAATATGAAACAAATGGGAGAAAATAAGATTTGTTTAAAGATTTTTAGTTCTACATGACATTTTAACTGTCAATGTCATAATACTGTTTGCTTTTACTGCAATAAAATACACATATTTGTATTCAGCAAAGTCTCACGTGTAAAACAGTACCCCCTATGTACAGGTTTTATGGCGTTTTGGAAGTTACAGGGTCAAATATAGCACGTTACATTTGAAATTGAAATTCGCCAGATTGGTTACGTTGCCTTTGAGACTGTATAGTAGCCCGGGAATGAAATTTACACCCATAATGGCATACTATTTGCAATAGTAGACAACCCAAGGTATTGCAAATGGGGTATGTCCAGTCTTTTTTAGTAGCCATTTGGTCACAAACACTGGCCAAAGTTAGCGTTAGTATTTGTTTGTGTGTGAAAAATGCAAAAAACGCCAATTTTGGCCAGTGTTTGTGACTAAGTGGCTACTAAAAAAGACTGGACATACCCTGTTTGCAATACCTTGGGTTGTCTACTATTGCAAATGGTATGCCACCATAGGGGTAATTTTCATTCTTGGGCTACCATAGGGTCTCAAAGGCAACGTAACCAATCTGGCAAATTTTAATGTGAAAAAAATGAAACATAAGCCTTATATTTGACGCTGTAACTTTTGAAAACACCATAAAACCTGTACATGAGGGGTACTGTTGTACTCGGGAGACTTCACTGAACACAAATATTTGTGTTTCAAAACAGTAAAAAGTATCATAGCAATAATATTGTCCGTTTAATGCTGTTTGTGCGTGAAAAATGCAAAAACGTCACTTTTACTGGCGATATCATCGTTGTAATACATTTTACTGTTTTGAAACACTAATATTTGTGTTCAGCGAAGTCTCCCGAGTAGAACACTACCCCCATGTACAGGTTTTATGGTGTCTTGGAAAGTTATAGGGTTAAATATAGTGCTAGCAAATTAAATTCCCTTTACTTTCGGCATGGGTTGTCAGGCAGGTCCTGCTAATTGTAATTAATTAAGATAACTAATTATGTAAAAATATTACATAAATATATATGTAGAATTAATGTGTGTGTGTGTGTGTGTGTGTGTGTGTGTATATATATATATATATATATATATATATATATATATATATATATATATATATATATATATATATATACACACACACACACACACACACACACACACAGGCATACACACACATAGATATATACAGACATACATACTGACATGCACACACATACAGATAGATATATACATACAGACATAAACACTAATAGATATATGCATACATACAGGCATACACACACACACACACTGACACACATATATATATATATATATATATATATATGTATTAAGGCCGTTTTGCCTGTATTTGTGGGAGGGGCTTAAATTAATTAAGGGACACCCTTTACCTGACTCATATTGCTTGAGGTCAGCATCAGAATGATTTCCACTTTCGGGTCATCCAGACGCCATTTTACCTGATTACTCCATGAGGTTTTCTAAGCAGAGCTGTGTCAGGAATCCAGCCACAGGCTTTTCCGGCCTACCACCTTCTTTCTTCAATCTATCGCTGTGGATGGTGTCCAAGTGACTCACAAACAGTAAGTCGACCTACCCGTTACGCCAGGCATCAGTCCCACGGCACCATGCACGGGTCAGGTCCTCACTTTACTGCTGCATTTTGTCTATGTCTGTTTTAAAACCATTGCATGTTCATGCATATCATTCGTTTAAACCCCCTACCGGTCTTTGGGTGTACTACAGGCTTCTTAGACATTATTGCATTTCATGTACAAACCAACGAACCACTGCATTTTCACTTACACACTGACCCCTACCGGTCATTCGGTGTACTACCGGCTTCTCAGACATTATTGCATTTCATGTAAAAACCAACCAACCACCTCATTTTTCACCTACACACTGACCCCTATCGGTCATTCGGTGTACTACAGGCATCTTAGACGTTTTTTGCATTTTCATGTACAAACCAATAAACCACCTAATTTTCACCTACACACTGACCCCTACCGGTTTTTGGTGTACTACAGGCTTCTTAGACATTATCGCATTTCATGTACAAATAAACGAATCACTGCATTTGCACCTACACACTGACCCTACTGGTCATTTAGTGTACTACGGGCTTCTCAGACATTATTGCATTTCATGTATAAACCAACAAACCACTGCATTTTTCACCTACACACTGACCCCTATCAGTCATTCGGTGTACTACAGGCTTCTCAGACATTATTGCATTTCATGTACAAACGAACGAACCACTGCATTTGCGCCTACACACTGACCCCTACCGGTCATTCAGTGTACTACAGGCTTCTCAGACATTTATTGCATTTCATGTACAAACCAACTAACCACGGCATTTTCGCCTACATGCTGACCCCTACCGGTCAATCAGTATACTACAGGCTTCTCAGATTTTATTTCACTTCATAAGCAAACAAACTAACTACAGCTTTTTCGCTTTTATACTGACTCCTGTTTGTCAAATGGTAGCATTAACCCCTTAAGGACACATGACATGTGTGACATGTAATGATCCCCTTTTATTCCAGAAGTTTGTTCCTTAAGGGGTTAAAGGGTATTTTAACATACAATCAGCATTTCTGACCCCTACTGGTCAACAGCAAAACTGTCTTCACATGTCATATACAATTTACCTGCCAATATAAATTACACATGAGATTGTTTTAAACATAACTATAGACCATAAGTTAAACTCCAGCACGGGCTCAACTTCAGGTTTAATTCACAATAATTTACATTTCACATCAAGACCAACAGTGGTTCTATCAACACTGCCACCTACAGGTCTGTCAAGTACATTGACAATTTTCATGGGGTTTTACAAACACCAAAACACTGACACCTATAGGTCAACAGACAAACAACATTTCACATATCAATCAGTATCCAACTACACTGCCACCTATAGGGCACTCGGCAGATCTCCAGTGCACTTGCATTTTGCAACACGATGTTCACTGACCCCTACCATTCAATAAGACATACAACAATTCACATAGAAAGCACTATATCAACATCTGGTATAAATACATATATTATTACACAGTAGCAGACGCATCTGTATATATGTAACTGGTAATATAGTTCACATACATTTTTCACAGCACGCTGCTCCCGCAACAGACTTCCCCTAGCAAGGGGACATACAACATACAAGGTGGGGACAGACCACATTTTCACTTGTACATACGGCACTTAATGGGTTAAGATTGATACATATTTAACCAGTATGGCTACAATGTTTAATATTTACACATCACGTCACTTTACTTTTCACATATACTGTACGTATTAAGATAAGCTTGGTCTATGCCATATTTCCTTATGCCATACGGTTTTATCCATTCAGGTTACAGTTACTACTAAAAAACCTATACGGATTGTCAGGTTCAATACCATACTACCAGGTACATACACCTGCTCACGTAGTTATCCATCTCTTACCTTCCCTGGAATAGTAATAGTGTACTGGCAATTAGGGTTCTGGGGCCCAATAGGTATTACCCCCTTTTTTTCTCTGCATTATGCTTCGGTTAGTGGTCCCGCGAGGCCAACACCCCGCCTCACACTCGGAGGCATACACCCCTCGGGCCACTCGAGAGCTAGCTGCCTCGCATTGTATCATAGAGAGGACCTCACCTGTCACTCCCCTACCTATTTTCTGGTTACTGTCACCGAGAGGCCAACATCCTGCCACAACGTTCGGTGGCCACACAAAATCCCCTCGCGCCAAGCATAGATAGAGCCTCTCAAGCCACTTGGCAACTAGCAGGGCCTCACCAGTCACCAAAAAACACCAAGCCTAATCGTTTCGCCTTACGGCTTAGCTAGCAAGCCAGTACAAGAACCCTGGGTACAAATAATAATGGCAATCTTTATTGTTATTTAAGTATTTCTCAAAAAGATGGTGAAGAATCACCTCTTCCTAGCACCCCGGCTAGAATTGATACACCTTCAAGCAGAGGAGATGTTGCTAGTCCAGCAGCAATCAGATCCTGGACGATCCCACACATTACCACCGACCTAAGGAGGTGACAAATCCCCTACCCTGCTACAGCAAGGAAAGCAGTTATTCAAACTCCTCCATACATCAACGGACAACACGGAGGCAGGGGAAGGCCCAACTACATCAACTCAGGTGACACCCAGGCTATGCTAGCTTCACTCATAAACTCATGAGAAAAAAAAATTTATGACAGACTGGCAATCTCGAGTTGGTCACCACAGCCCTCACATGGCTGGGCCTCACGCTACTGTACAACCAGCACCAACCGAAACTCTGTTACCTGGTACAATCAATTCTTATGACACACAAGATGTTAAACCTGCACGTATGATCCCAGCACATTGGGGGAAGCAATGCATATATATGTATGATGATGTATCTGTGATGGTCAGATCCAGGGATTCCAGGTAAATCGGGAACTGACCATCCCTTGGTTGGGTTGGCATTTGGAATATGTGGAGATGTTTATTTGTGCAGGTACCCATACAGAAGGGATTTTGTCCCAAACAAATGGACGAGCACTCTCAGGCTCTAGGTACCAGCACCTCTGAACTACCAGAGACCACTGATATGAGTAGTTGCATTGCATACAGACTGTTGCATATATGTTCAAATAGTTCAGGGCACATGACAAACCATGTGTCCCAATACAACTTACAAATAACGTATTCACCATCTGTACACACCAATGCATTTTCAACACTACTGACTCATCACCCTGCCAGACTTGTAGTAGATTTACTAAAGCTCTGGAGCTTCAAAGGGCTCCCACACAGGGATCATAAACACACCTTCAAGTAATATAGCATGCCCTCACTTACAGTCAGCACAACAAAACCATTGGCTGTAAACACACTCATAGCCAAGATTTGCAGAGGGGTCTTCCAATCTCCACCATTTACAACATGGCACCAAACACACACATTGGTATTGTCACAAGGAATCTTCCCTTAAACAAAGACTAACCATAGACTTATTGGCACCACACACCTCCGCTACCCCAAGTCTCAACTCCCTCATACCCTCTGAGGATTTTTCTTACTATACAACACCATTGATCTACCTTTACAGCTATCACTCACACATGGGTTGAAGCTTGGTTAAGTAAGACCAATATCATCAACGCAGTAAACGGCTACCATCTACCCTACACACTGGCACTTACATGGCATAAATTGGGCAATCCTTTCCCCGCTCAACTTTCGAGCTACAGATTAGCCTACTATCGATATTCGCAGATACTCTGTGCTGGTTATGATAACATATCCAGAGGCCTTACAGTCATACACTATCTAGAAGACTTCTTGTTAATCAAAGAAAGCATATTTTTCACTAGAAGCCTCACGGCAGCTTAGTCTGGTTGACCACTTGGGCCTCCCAGTACCCCATAAGAAACAGAAGGCCCAGACACTATCTTCACATTACTGGGCATATGACTTGAGTCGGCATCCATACACGCAAGTTACCACAAGACAAATAGGGAACATTCTCAACTACATCAATCACTACCTCCTGCTTAGTACTTACAACTGCAAGGAACTAGGATCCCTACCAGGTTCCTTAATTTTGCCATGCAAATCATACCACAAGACCACGCTTTCACATCCAGAGTACTTTCCCCTTTTTTCCACACTTCCAACATGACGATCAGAGGATGTCCCTAGACACCTCAGCAACAGCAGACCTGCACATGGGGGGGAATTTTTTAACCACTTGGCATGGTAAAAGCATGTTCCTTCCAGGATTGTCTGACACTTCTCCAACCAGATGGTCAGATGCAGCGTCTACCACGGGTTTGGCAGCGATCTACCGGGAACAATTGCTTTGGAGCTGTTGGCGATGGCATCCAGGTTTGGAAATTTTTCCACCACCTCAGCCCCTTTGGGAGATCTACCCCATTGTAGCAGCTGCTGAGGCATGGGTTAAATCATGGTCAGGGTCATCAATCCGTTGTTACTCAGGCAACTAAGCATATGCCACTTATCACATTTCACTTTCATGTACCAGACGGGGGTATACATCCCTGCCGACAACTGTCTCATTTATATTCCAGGCATGTTCATCATACGCTTCCTACAGCCGACCATACAGTCACGGCCACTCTTTCGTTCCAGAGACAAAATCAT